CATGACTAGGTATAATCACACAACTGAATGTCACCAATGGAATATGAGTGACTGACATATGCAGCTGCCACCTCACTTGCATAATGGGAAGTTGCTTCCTTGGCTCGGGCTTCTTCTCTCTCTTTTCCTTCCCATACTCATGATACAGCTTCAACCAAGGAGATGAGGAAGTGCCCTAGGGGATGGCCGAGCCACAAGATGGAAGGAGCCTGCGTCCCTGAATAACTTCCTGGAGCAGGGCTGCCCAACAACCTGGACTCTTCCCCATGGAACTGTTATGTGAAAGAAGAGTAAACTGTTCTCTATAAGCTGCTGTTTTGGGGTCTCTTTCAGCATAATCTTTCTTTATTAATACAATGGTAAAGGGAGAATATTAGGCATAGAAGTTGTAATTAACAAGTGATTACAGATCAACGCAGAAGATACCAGTGCAAGCAGTCGCGTTCTCAGAGTGTCACATTTTCCCATTCTAGAAGCAGAAGAGATATGTTGAAAAATGTATGAGCACTGTCGTGAGCTCCAAGCAATCCCATGTCTCAGAGCTTCTGCCAGCTCCAGATCATCTTTTTTGATTGCCTCAGTTTGAAGTACATAGGTTATACTTCTACCCCAGAATTTAAAATGTAAGTTTTTATCTTTTATAATTTTGACCACAATGTTTAGAAAATTATTTTCATTTGCAACTGTCTTCATTTACCACATCTTCTCTTTTTTCTTTTCTTTTTTTTTTTAACATAATTTCTACTTCATCAGACAATAATTTATTCAGGTATCTTATTTGCTAGTACCAGTTTTTGTAACCTGGTTTTGATGTAAAACCTCAGATTCTCATACTGCAACTTTTTGGATATGACCAGATGTAACTAATTTCTTTTCCTGCTGTTATTTTATTTTAATTTAATTTATTATTTTATTTTGTTTTTTTTTTTTTAAAGATGACCAGTAAGGAGATCTAAACCCTTGACTTGGTGTTGTCAGCACCACGCTCACCCAGTGAGTAACCGGCATCCAAACCCACGGCCTTGGTGTTATCGGCACCACACTCTCCCAAGTGAGCCACAGGCTGGTCCTGATTAATTTATTTTTAATTGTACCTATTTGTGGGGTACAGAATGTTGTTTCAATACATGCATATATTATACAATGATCCACTTAGAGTAGAAAGCATTTCCATCACCTAAACATTTATCTTTTCTTTGTGCCCTCTTTTTTAAGGATTGAGTTACTTTTTTTCTTTGCTAATCACCTTTTATATTTCAAATGTAATATTTTAGCATTAATATAGCTATGCCATTTTAATTTGAACTTCTAGATCAGGAATCAGGAAACAACAGCCACCTGTTGTTTTTTGTTGTTTCATTTTAAATTACTTTTTATTGTTGTAAAATACACATAACATAAAACTGACCATCTTAACTATTTGAACAGTTCAGAGTGCAACCATCACCACCATCCATCTCCAGAACACTTTGCATCTTGTCGAACTGGAACTCTATAACCACTAAACAAGAACTTCACATTCCCCCAGCCCCTGACAACCACCATTCTGCCTAAAGACAGATGTAGAGATTCTACTGATATAGGAGGTGCTCAGTTTCCCTGGGCTCGAGTTACAGGACACGCCTCTGGGTTTCAAGCCATTCCCCAAGATTTCAGTCTCCTCTTCTAGGCCCTCCCCTACAAGAAAGTTACTGTCACCAATTAGACCTATTTTCAGTACCAACACGGGGAAATGAGACCACAAGGGGCTGGCTTATGCAAATCCAGTGGCTGGGCATTCTCAATAGAGAGCACAGAATATTCTTGAATATTTATAAGATAGGGTCTGACTGATGAACATGCTCCAGGAAGAGACTGACTGAGCATGTGCAAGGCAATGTTCCATAACTGGGAGCCACCCCCTTTAACTGAATATTCATTAGATAGAGACACTATAAAAGCTGAATCCCAACAGAAGGCCAGGTTGTCGCTCACCTTCTTGGAGGTAACCTGCACTTCACTGGCTGAGGTGTGTATACTTTACTTTGTATTAAACAAGCAGCTGCTGGTTCTCTTGAGCCAGCCTGCACTTTGTACTGAACGTTATGTTTTTCTTACTTTTGTGTTAGACTTGATGTCTGTACTGAACTTACTTTTGTGTTAAACTTGGAATGGGCCCTGCTCAGCCTGTGGAGCATGCCGCACTCTGTGGAACTTGTATCTCTTATCTGTTATATTAAACCTGTTCTCATTTTTCTACTGTGATCCTACCCTCGAATTCTTTCCTGTGGTGGAGTCAAGAACTTGGTAAGAGGATGGGGAGGTGTAGTGGATTGAATTGTGTCCCCCCAAAACTCATTGAAGCTTGAATTGTGCCCCCCAAGTTTTATGTATTAGAACTTAGAACCCACTGTGACTTTTAATCGTGTGGGAAATCCTATGACGGTAACCAAAAGGTGAAGCCTTAAAGAGGTGATTGGATTGTAGGACCATGCAGTAGTGAATGGATTAATAATGGTGGTCAGGGGTGTGGTTCTGAGGGCCTTAAAAGAAGAGGAGAGTCTGTTTTTCTCTCTCTTGCTCTCTCTGCAATATGAGACCCCTGAGTCACTGTCACCACCACCAGATGGACTTTGGACTTCCCAGCCTCAGAAACTGTAAACAACAAATGTTTTCTTTATAAAATACCCAGTTCCATGTATTTTGTTATAAGCAACGTGAACGGACTAATACAGGAGGGTTGAGGCCGACTATTAGGCCCCAGGACCCTACCTCAGACATCACTATCTAGATTTTAACAACTCTAAATACATTACATAAATGGAATAATAAAGTTTTTGTCTTTTGGGGGCTGATTTATTTCACTTAGCATAATGTCCTCAAGGTTCATCTATGTTGTAGCATATGTTATAATTTCCTTCCTTTTTAAATGCTAGATAATATTTCTGTCTATGCATGTACCACATTTTATTTATCCATCTGCTTTTGTTGTTTTTTTTGGTGGCTGACTAGTACAAGGATCGAACCCTGGACCCTGGTGTTATTAGCACCACACTCTACCCAAATGAGCTAAACAGCCAGCCCTATTTATCCTTTATCCATCCGTTGATGGGCACTTGGGTTGCTTCCACTTCCTAGCTGTTGTGAATAATAATGTCACAAACATGGGTCAACAAATATCTCTTCGAGAACTTGCTTTCAGTTCTTTGGGTATACGTCCAAAAGTGGAATTGCTGGATCATATGGTAATTCTTAATTTTTTTGAGGAAATGTCATACTGGTTTCTACAGTGGTTGTACCATTTTACATTTCACTGAGAGTGCACAAGGATTCCAATTTCTCCACGTCTCACCACTTATTTTCTGCTTTTTGATACAAGCCATCCTAATGGGTGTGAGGTGATATCTCATAGTTTTGATTTGCATTTCTCTAAGTGATTATTTGATTTGATTTCTTAGTTATGTTGAGCATCATGTGCTTATTGGCTACTTGTATGTCTTCTCTGAAGAAATGTCTTTTCAAGTCCTTTCCCCATTTTTTTTTTGCAGCTAGCCAGTACAGGGATCCGAACCTGGCCCTTGGTGTTTCAAACCAGCTGTGCTCAAACCAGCTGAGCTAACCAGCCAGTCCAAACATAATGAAGTCTGGAACTTATTTTTGTTTTTGGTGGCTGGCCAGTACCAGGATCCAAACCCTTGACCTTGCTGTTGCCAACACTGTGCTCTAACAACTGAGCTAACTGGTCAGCCCTCCTCATTTTTGAATCAGGTTGCTTTGTTGTTGTTGCAGCTACCTGTTTTTGTAAACAAAGTTCTGTTGAAACAGCCCCACCCATTCATGTATATGTTGTCCATGGCTGCCTTTAGGCTACAATGACAGAGTAATGGTGAAAGAGACCATTTTTGGCCCACAAAGCCTAAAATATTTACTATCAGGCCCTTTACAGAAAATGTTTGCTGACCCCTGTTCTAGATCTATATCTATTTTACTCTGGTTTAATATTTATATTCTACTTATCTTTTATCATAGTGTCACTCCTAACTTCTATTACTTCTTTCCTTTTTATTTTTAACTCTCTATGCTCAATAGAGAGCACAGAATATTCTTGAATATTCATGTGATAGGGTCTGACTGATGAACATGCTCCAGGAAGAGACTGACTGAGCATGTGCAAGACAATGTTCCATAACTGGGAGCCACCCCCTTTAACTGAATATGCATTAGATAGAAACACTATAAAAGCCAAATCCCAACAGAAGTGTAATAAGCTTTTGACTTAACTAATTTTTATCTAACCAGTTTCATAAACTTTAGCGTCACCAAATTATCTTACCACTTTTACCTTTTTTAACTAACCATTTATTTCTTAATGACCTTTAACATTATGCCTGTTGCTCTGTTTTTATTTGACTGGAGAAGTGCAGCTGCAGGCAGTGATCATCTGTACAAATGCTCAACAGGACTTTCCTCCAAATCTTAACCATTCTGTGTTGTCTCAAGACTGTGCCTTCCCAATACTTAACTCCACTGTCCAGCCACCGTTCGAGGAACCTGCTCATCAGACAGTTATCTGATGAGTCCTGCTCCTTTGCAGATGACCTGAAATAAAATTCCCACAACACCTTGACCACACAGATGGCTACACTGTGGCTCAGCAAACTAGGCCTGCCCATCTCAAGCAAGTTATTCAAAGGACATCTAGAGCCTATTGAATGCTTAAGTTAGATAGAGCTACTGACTCATTCTCCAAGACCTATCCATTTAAGTCTTCTGAATGTTATTCTATATCTTCTTTAGCTAAGAAAACTATATCCAGAGTGCTGTGTCCTAATAATGGCTGTAAAGGTTGGCAGAGTCTTCCCTAGAGATAATTCTTTCAAATTTCCAAATTTATTAAACATTTTCTGTATACCAGGCATGGTGATAGATATGAGATTAAGAAGTCCAATAACATATGGATTCTCTCCTCAATGTATTTATGATTGAGTTGGGGTGAAAAACAGAAACAACAATAATTGTAATACAGTGAGATATGTTTTTATTAGGAAATGCCATGAGAACACAGAGGAAAGATATCAGAGAAAGCTTCCGGGAGAGGATCACAGAAGGTAGTCCACCTGTGGACTACTCAGCCCCCTTCCCCATCAACCCAAAACCTCTCTGAACCATGCATACAGTTCCACATCGCCTACAGGAGGCATTCCATGATGTTGAATGAATGAGGAAGCCAGGCACAGAAAGAGCATCCTTCCATAGAAATCCCCATGGGGAGGGACAGAAATAATCAAGACACCTTATAACCTGGCCTGACCACCCACACCCCACGCACACATACCCATCCACCCAGCCTCTGCTGTGGACAACAGAAAACAAAAGAACACCCCCACAACTCCACCACAGTCAGCCTTGAGTCCAATGGGCCAGAGGGAACAAGATGAGACATAACAGGAGTGCTGCAGACTTGGCTGGAGATCAGATAGGGCTGGCGCAGGGACCACGCTGGTCTTTCAGGGCAGTGCTGGAGAGTGTGGGGTCCAGTCATGATCCTCAAAGCAGAGTCAACCACTGACAGGAAGGACTGTCCGGTTGGATTTAGGGCAGGGAACAGTAACCTTAGGAGGAGGATTTTGCGAACAAAAGTAGAAAGCTTAAGCTTTAAAGAGCCTGAATAGGAGAGGGGGGTCCATTTAACAGAAAGCAAGCCAATAAGGCCTGCAGAAGAAAAAGGAATGAGAAGGCGGAGCCTGGGGTGCAGGGAGTGTTGCTGTTCTCCAGACTGCAGGCAGCAGGCACTCCCTCTCATGGCCCTACTTGTTGCCCCACAGGGCCAGCTTTGCGTACACAGGTCTTGCAAGAAAGCGACTGGACTTCATGTAGGCAGAGATCTTCTTCAGGCCCTGAGGGTAGCAAAAAGAAAGCCTGAGCACAGAGTCTGGAAGTATAGCAGGTCAGGACCCTGACAACAGCCTTTACACGTGGGTCACACGTTAGATCTATGCACAGTCCACTGAGACTCCACAGCTCTGATGAGTTAACTCTTCCAATTTCCTTCAACTAATGTCCTACCTTAGTACGAGCTACCACTTATGGAGACCGGACAGTAGGCTAGGGCTTTCTATCCACTATAAATTACAATATGAGTTTTAAAAAATCCACCCAACTACCTGCAAGATAGGCTCTACTACTGCCATCCAACAGAAGAGAAACTGAGGTGCACAGAGTTAAGCGACACCCTCAGGCTCACACAGCTAGTAAGTGGGACAGGGCTGGAAAGCAGCCCTGGCTCTGTCTCTCTCTCCAGTTTTGTGCTCTTTCTGCTGTAGTCCCCTCCTCCACCCCCACAGATGGCCCTGTCACTCCATGCCTGCACAAACATTCTCCATTCTCACAGGGAGGCTCCTGGCTTGCCAGGGCTTGCACAGAGAGGAAGGACCTCAAGCAAGACAAAAGGGCTCAGATGAAGCCTCTACAGCTTGGAAGAAAGCCTGGATCTCACCCAGTGACTCAGCAAAACCTAGATGAAAGTAGATAGGGGGATACATAGATCCCATAATATCTAAAGGATACAAACAGATCCAGGCAGCCTGAACCCATGGAGCCAGACCATGCAGGACCCAGCTGCAGCCCTCACCGCTTACTCCGCTCCCACCCCCACCACAGCCATTCCAGCTCTTGCAACATCCCCAAGGCCGTTCAGCCTGTACCAGAACCAGGGCTGATGAGAGCTAGCTCAGAAAGCAGATCTCAAGGTGGGGAGTGGGAAAGAAAAACACATATTAGGCTGAAAACCTAATTGGAACAATGCCTCAATTCACAAATCTGTCATAAAGTACATTTTGTTGCTCTCAAACAAGTTGAGTATGGGTGAAAGATGACTAGCTGTGAGGTGAGGTCCAGACTGTGCTCCCCAGTACCCAGATGGTAACACATGCACCTCACAGCCTACTATGTCTGCAGCTGTCTCACTACACTCAGTTCCAGGATCGAGGGTCACCTTTGCATGTACCACTGTGCCTGACACCATGCCTCATACACAGGACAGATCAGTTAACATGTGTTAAAATAAATGTGCTAGTCCATCTCACAGAGTGAACACTTGGGAAACCGAAACGGAGAGGGAGGGAAAAAATGTGCCCCCATCAAGCACTTCAAGATAAACCCCTTCAGCAGGGGCACCCACGTGTGTACTCAAATCCAGCACCAACTATACTCCTGGGATCTCAGTACTACCCCAGATGGATAGCTGAATGGGGAAAGCGTTTTGGACATCAGGCATGAACAATCTCTGTGTCTTTGGTCCTTAACGTCCATCCTACCTATGAAAGTTGCCAGAATCAAAACACAGTTGCTTGTTTAAAAAAACCCTATGAACAGAGCCGGGGAAGGTCATTAAGGAAGGGTTCTCATGTACAAATGCCTGATAAAAATGATCACAAAGGACTGTGCAAAATAACATACTCCATAGAGGCCAATGCACTCTTACACAAAAAATACTTCTGCAAGGACATCTGCCAAGCAACTGTCTGTTCAGCCTTGGAATGGCATCAACCTTCTTCCTCATCCTTGTGGCCCAGCATATTACCCCAAAACAATTAGGTATTCTGCCATCATTTTTCCTTTAAAACCCTTTTCCCTCTGCTTCTTGAATATGCACATCTGGCATGTTGATTCCCACTGCAATCTTCTATTCCACGTTAAACTCATTCTTCTCTTAGAGAGCCTCTCTCTGATTGTATCTACGTTAACAGACGAAGACTTGTGTCAGTCCTACTAACACCAGCTGCATACGCACTCCTGATGTTCCGCCTCCTCCACAGTGTCCTCAGCTGTGAAATCCAGGCTGCAAAAGGGCCTGAGGCTTTTCCTCTTGGCTGCTTCCCATAGAAGCCAGAGGCTGACAGGCAGCCCAGTACAGCCTCCACTGGCTCTGGGACCTTCAGCAAAGGACTTGCCCTCTACAGTCTCAGTTTCCTCATCTGTACAAATTGTGAATGATAATTCCATCAACCTTGTTGGAATGTTGTAAATATTAAACCTGACACAATGGATGTAAAATGCTGAGCACAGGTCCTGGCATGAAGCCAGTGCTCACTAAATGCTAGTTACTCATTATTTCAGCTCAGGGCAAAGAGAGAAGGAAAAGAGAGTTCCAAGAGGAAGGAAGGTCAGGGGCATCACCTCAAAGTGGGACATGAAGTCCTTCAGGTTTGGAAACGCATCCAGACACTTGGGCTCAAACATACGGTTCTGGTCAAGGACATCATAAGCCAGGAAATCCACAAACGTGATCTGCAGAAGGCCAAGGACACATGGGCTGGAAGCCCATCATCTAGGAAGAATGACAACTAACCATCCCCATCTCCCTCCCCCTTTACCTTGTCCCCTGCAAACCATGGCCGCTTCCCTAGGAAATGTGAGAAGAGCTTCATCTTTTCAGGGAGTCCCTCCACATACTCTGGCTTCAGTTTCTCCTGCAACAAAAAACAGCTGTCACACACAAAAAAACGTCACACACAAACTCCCTAGGCAGAGACACGGCCTCCCCAGGGCTGTGCATGGCCCCAGCTGGCCACCACTGAGCTGCCGTCCTTCCCCCGACTGGGACTTTGTCAGTGTCCAGGCTTCCATTTATTACATCAGCATGTATTAGACTCCTACTGGATACCAGACCCCATCAGAGGCAATGAAAAGGCAAAGAGGAATATGACACTGTCCCTGAATCTGTCACCTCTGATCTTCAAACAATCCTATGGGTCAGACCCAGCAATAGCCTGCGTACTGGGCACACTCTGTACTTAGACAGTGGGGAGAATCAAAGATGCAAAGAACTAAAGAGCTCAGGGAAAGAAGTTGTAAATTCTACCCAGTGGGATGCCAGAATGGAATAGACATTTGAATAGTTTCTGGAAAGATGGGGTTTGCAGAAGCTGGAAAAAAGGAGGGAGAGGAATGAAGGCCTTTTGGCCAATCCTGTGTTGCCTATTCGGGAAATATGCTGACTGCTGTGGGTGTCATGGAGACAGCACTGGGAAAACAGTTGGACGGAATTCCAAACTCGAGGGTGCCAATACCATCCCCCCTCATGTACTACTTTTCCTCATAGCTTGAGTCTGTGTATTCCAAGAACAGGTGGACGGCATTAACCAGCTGTGAGGGATGGCCAATGGCAGAGGTCAGAGGTCAAAGATGCAAGGGATTTTGAAACCATGATTTTACTATATAGATGTGGAGACTGATTTAGATTTACCTTTTGATATAGTTTAGTGTTATCAGGGTCACTGGTGGCTGGAGGCAGAGTCTGAACACATGACTTTACTGTCTACAAACTGAATTACTACCCTGTAGATTCTGGACTGTATCCTAAGATAGGTAGGAATTAATTTAGAGTTTTCACTAAATAGATTTTGGACTTAGGAGAATCACTCTGATGTTAGTACAGGAAACAGCATGGAGGATGAGTAGCACTAAAAAGTTCAAATGCTGAACAGGACCAGTATAGATGGGAATGCAAGCTGACCTAAACCACACCTGGCCCAGCCCAGTGGGAAAACTCACAAACTCAGGGCTGTAGCAGACCATGGCCAGCTGCATGCGGGTGTCCATAAGCTGGTTCTCCAAAATATCCACGCGGATCTTCTCTTCTTCTGTCTCTCCATCTGCCGCCCACACAACAGAGACTTACACTCAGCATCTCACCCCAGCCGAGCCCACGGGGTTGAGCACCATCACCCCCACACCATGCAGCCAGCCTTACTCACACAGGTTGTGCTTGCGGGCAATGTAGCGCAGGATGGCGTTGCTCTGGGTGATCCTGTGAGCCCCATCAATTAAGTAGGGCAGCTGCATGGGCAACCCCTGAAGGTCAGTGGGGCTGCCAGGCTCCCCAGCACCCCGTTTCCCGAGAGAGGACAGACAGAAGACCTGGCACTCACTGTGCCTGGCCCATGGTGGCCCTAAATAAATATACTGTAATAATAGTGAAGGAGCTGGGACACAGAACATCATGGAAAGGCAGCGTAGAGAACCAGGAATGAGAATGGTTGAGCAGAAGGCACCTGACCCTAAGACCTCCAAGCTGAGGAAAGGAGATGGAGGCAGGCACACCTTCCACTTGCCCCCACAACCGCCCCATCGCTGCACCTACATTGGGGAAGTCCAAGCCCAGCTTGAATTTCTCATTCAGCCACTGGCTTCTGTCATAGTCAGGAGCTGTGGTGGAGAAGATGAACTGAAAACAAACCTCCCCAGAGCCCAACCCTCCCTTCCCAGGGACCTTCCCAAGAAGTCAGTGGCAAGAGCCCCAGAGGCAGCGGATCTAGAATCCAAACCACTGAGTCTCACATTCCGAGGTCTGTGGGGAACGGAATGCTTGTAAGGGCTCTGAACTCCACATGACTAAGGCTCACAAAAGGTTTAGGTAAGCGCTAAGGGGAACCCAGCCCACCCAATTACTGGTACAGGGGTGCCCGGCAATCCCCTCCCAGCGTCCTGACTTGGAAGGCCAAAGTGCACCCTGGAAGGCCTGAGGGGACGGGCAGGCTGCAGCCTCAGCTGGTGGAGGCCTGCAGAGGGGAGCAACAGGTGGCCAGGCATGGGCTGCTTGGTACCAGCTCAGCACGAGTTGGGCAGAGGTCCGCACACGAGGGTGCCATTACCGTCCCCCATCGTGTACTTCTTTTCCTCATAGCTGGAGTCTGTGTATTCCAGGAGCAGGCGGATGGCGTGAGCCAGCTGGAGAGAAGGTCCGCGGCACATCAGAGGTGGAGGGGACCCGACCGCGTGGCTTGATCTCCTCCACGCGAGCCCCCCACCCTCCACCCACAGGCACGCACAGGCGCGCACACGGAAGAGCTCCCGAGAGGGACAGGCAGAGGTCCCGGCAGGCCCGAAGAGGACCCATCCCCTGGAACTGGTCCCCCAGCTGCTCAGCACCTCCCCGCCCCGCGGCCCCGTCCCACTGTCCCTGGCCGATCCCTGCTCACCCCGCGGATATCCCAGTAACCCAGTGTCATGGGCATGGTGCTGAGAGCTGTGGACTCGGCAGACAGGCCTCAGCGGTGCTGGGCTGCGACTTTCAGAGAGTGCCCTGGAAGAAGAGGGACGGCCCGGGTGGGGCCCCGCCCCCACGCCCTTCCCGCCGCCCACGAGGCCCGCCCCCCCCCCCCCCCCCCCCCCCCCCCCCCCCC